GCCTTGACAGTGGTTGTGCCCAGACCACCGGTTGCCTGGAATTAAAACCCTCGGATCCAGTTCTCTACCATTAATGTTATCAACTTCATCAAGTACTTCCTCTTTGAGTGGTGTGTGCAGAGAGAGAAATAAATCATGCTCCACCAGGTCCTGTTGCTGCCAGATCCTGAGTCAAAAGTAAAATGTGAGTTGATTATCCAGAGCACTATCTCCCTCCTTTATTGTTCCCAATGATCTGGGCAGGAACAGAGAGTGAAATCTCTCCAGGACATTACATCAGTTCCTCCTTTACCCTTGGCATGAAAGCTCTTCCTCTCATAGTCCTCCCAGACTTCCTAAGGCTTGCCCTGAGTGCACACCCATACACTGAGCCTTGAAGCCCAGGACATCAAAGGAAGCTTGTAGGTAACCAGACTACTGGCCAATGCCTGTGTCATTTTGCAATCTGTAAGACGGGAAATGGATTCAGGAAATAGGATTTTTCAACACATGGCCTTCATCATCCTTAAGTATTTTTAAAACCTTAATAAGCTTTTAAGGAAAGGGAGACATTCTGTAAATGGCATTTAGAAGAAAACATATGAAACTTCAAAATGCAGCTATCTTAAATACTTGCTTACGATGGCCATATTCTGTGACAAATGACAAGTGTTCATGGCTAGCAGAGTTGAGATCCATATTAGCTGTGAAAAGAATCATCCCCAAAAGATTACAGGTCATTTATATCATACTAATAATCTCAGCTATTAAAGTTAATACCATGGGTCCAGCCAGTACCTTATAAGCATATATTTGCATTTGGGTTCAAGTAACTAAGTTAGTACTTGTCATCCCAACCTGTATCATTGCAAGATTGATTAAGCACTTAAAAAATACACACACTTTTTTGTAGGCAAACATCAAATTGATACAAAAGTAGGGAGAATTATATAATGAACCACCATGTACCCATCACCAGCTTTAAGGATCAATTGTGGCCATTCTTGTTTCCTTTATACACCAGGTACACTCTGATTCAAACTTCCAGATTATTGTAAAGCAAATCCCAGGTATATAATTTCATCTATAAATATATCAGTACAGGTCTGAAAAGATAAGGACCCATTATAAAATCATACAGAGTTATTACATCACCTGAAAACTAATAGATCTTCAGTATCACCAAATATCCTGTTAATGTTCACATTTCCCCAACTATCTCATCAATGTTTCTAACTTTGAATCAGAATCCAAACAAGTCTCTATACACCGCAAATGGTTGATGTGTCTCTTAAGTCTCTTTCAATCTATAGTTCTCCATCTCTATCTTTCTTGCACACTTGCTTGTTAGTGTAAATCTTCCCTTGTACATAGTGTGTCTTTTTTTTCTCTGGTTGCTTTCAAGATTTTCTCTTTGGTTTTCAGATTTTTTACTATGGTGTGACTGTGTGTAGCTTTTCTTGTATTTATTTTGCTTGGGATTTGCTGAGCTTCTTGGACCTTTAAGTTTGTCATTGTTACCAAATTTGGGAATAATTTGGCCATTATTTCTGCAAATTTTTTGCCCCATTCTTTCTGTTCTCTCCTTCTTAGACTCCAATTACATGTCTGTTACCATTTAATATTGTTTCAGTCACAGAGGATCTATTTTTTAACTTTTTAAAATTTGTCTTCAAGTTTCCTAATCCTATCTTCTGTCATCTCCAACCTGCTATTAAGTTCATCTAGTCTAATCTTTCATTTCAGATACTGTATTTTTTTTCAGTTCTAGAATCTTCTTTTTTTATATATCGTTTCCATTTCTCTTCTGACAATCTCCGTTATCATTCATTATGATTATCATTTATTGTAAATGCTTGAACTTACAGCTACTTTAAAGTTCTTTTTTGCTAATTTCAACCTCTGCATTATCAGTCTGTTTTCAGTCTGTTTTCCTCTTGATTTTGGATCATGCTTCTCTGTCTTCGAATGTCTAGAAAATCTTTATTGGATACTAGATATCCAATAAAGATAGATAAACACAATCGATAACACGTTGTAGAGAAAGTATGTTATACTAGTGCTCAGGGACGGATTCATGCACATTGAAAGGAATTAATTAGAAGGTGGTCGGAGGAGCGGGACTGGGTGAGATAGGCCAGACACGCCCTAGCCCAGCCGTGGGCAAACTATGGCCCTCAGGCCGGATCCGGCCCATTTGAAATGAATAAAACTGTACCCTTTTATGTAATGATGTTTACTTTGAATTTATATTAGTTCACACAAACACTCCATCCATGCTTTTGTTCCGGCCCTCCAGTCCAGTTTAAGAACCCACTGTGGCCCTCTAGTCAAAAAGTTTGCCCACCCCTGCCCTAGAGCCAACCTCTTGTGGTCCCTCCCTGGGCAGCGCTGGGGCTTGAAGGGTATCTGCAGAGTGAGGGGGGTCCCTCCGACAGGTGGGGTCCCTTGGCCTGGCCTGCGCTCTCCAACATCCCCCCGAGGGGTCCCAATTGCAAGAGGACAGTTCTTGGGTGACACACCCTGGAATTGGGCTCCCGCCTCTCTGGTTCTGGGTGCATCACCCAAGAGCTGCAGCTGCCAAGTCACCGCAGCTCAGCAGCTCCTGTGTTGAGCATCTGTCCCCTGGTGGTCAATGCACATCTTAGCTACCAATTGGAGCATCTGCCCCTTGGTGATCATTGCGCATCATAGCTGTGGGTCAGATGGTTGAACAGTCGGATGGTTGCTTAGGCTTTTATGTATATAGATTCCTCCGAAGGATGTTGATTTTTATTCTAGGCAGTTAAATGACTAGCCAGTCATTTTGAATTTGTTGAGTCTTGATCTTACGTTTAGTTAGGACAGATCTGCTTCAGTTTTGCCTTTAGCCATCAGGTAAATCCCTTTGTCCTAGAGCACTATTCTTACTCATAAGGTGTGGCCATTCTGGGTTAATACCCAGCTTGAGATACTTACAGAGCTTTCTAATGGAAATTAAAATCCAAATTCTGTCTTCAATACAGTGGCCAATAGCTGAGATTTCTGCTCCTATCTTTCAATCATCCAGCTGTTGCTTTTCACTGAGCTCCTCAGAGAGTTTCCCCAGCACATGTGCTATTCAGAGCACATGTTAAAGATTTGAGGAAACTTTATGTGCCAATTTAGTGATATTCCCTCTGAAGCTCTCTTTATGAGACTTGCTCTCTCAATTTTTTGCCATTCTGGCAGCCATACTTGAATCCCTGACACCTCAAGCAACTTTCAAGTCATTCTCTATCTGCCCCACATTACACGGACAATCCTCAGGGCAAAAGCTCTGCAAATTGGTATCTCACTCTGTCAGTTTCATTCTTTCAAGAGTGAAATCCCCTTCATTTTTTCCATTACCTTCAAATAACTTTTAGAAATGTATTCTATCCAGATTCTATTATTTCTACCTGTAGAAAGGTTAGTTCAGTACAAGCCACTCTGCCATTATTGAAACTGGAATTCCCTTCTTCATTAGAAAAATGGTAGCATACCATAAATAGTTTATCTTGCTTTGCTTATCTAACCATAGAGCCTAGAGACCAGTGCTTAGCAGAATATTGAGATACTCCTCATTCCATTTTATAGCCACACTAGAGGCCCAGCAATTGCACAAGGAGGCACCCCACGGGCTGCGGCGGGAGTCAGGCCAGACTGGCGCTGCAGGCGGCTGGGACCCGAGCCTGACTTCCGCCCAGGTCCCCCCAAGCCCCCTGCCTGTGTCCGCTCTGGGTCGCCAGAGCCGCCGCACCAATTCAGGCAGGCCCCCCTGTCTCTGTCTCCCTCTCCGCTCCAGGCCTCACCTGTATGCACAACCTCTTCCTGTCCGGTAGTGACCCGTTACAGCGTCCTGGCCTAATTTGCATATTACCATATATATAGTCCTCCGCTATTTATAGGTATACTATAGCTTAATAAACCAGTCTCCTGCTGGTAGCTATGCCAATGAGACAGTTCTGGGAATAGATATGGCCAGAAAAACTTCATGAAGATGAGTGTGGGTCCCTATAGAAAGCTCCATTTTCATAGACAGATTTATCTCCTTCCTATTCTTAGCAGGACTCAAAGCCAAATGTATGCTAGTTCCTCTCTCAACCCAGCCTGCAGAACTACTTCTGTTGCCGAGCTGTGTATACTTCTGGGTTGTCCTTGCTCATATGTGACCAGCTTGAAAGTTAAAGTGGGATGGGGTGAAGGTATGTTTCCCCTTTTTACTTACCTCTGCGTATCTTTAAGCATTTATGAGTAGGGTCTGCGCACTCAGAAACAGAGTGATCCTAATCGTTCTTTCAAGTACAATTAGATTGTCATTCTGTACATTAGCCCCACTATTCAGGGTTCAGGTTTAGGTGTTACTTCCACCCTGGTTTGTATATAGAAAAGTGGTAGATATTGCAATAGATACATGGGTCTAGAATCTGATTGGAGTCTGGTTCTAACCCCCTAACTGGCTCTGTGGCCTTGGGTAAATTGCTTACCTTCTCTATGCCTCCATTTTTTCACCTGTGAAGTAGGATTAATGTAGTTAGTATCTGCTACTTAGGAGTGTTGTAAATTTTAAATAGTACAATGCAGAAGCTAGGATATAGTAATTGCTTTGTTATTATTATTATTATTATTATTATTATTATTATTATTATTAAATACCCATACCTCCTAGAGGTAGAGAAAATGAAAATTTGCTTATGAAAATGTAAGTCAGTGAAAGCATCTAGAGAGAAACCCTTAAGGACCCTGAAAGCCACATGCAGAGTCAAAGGTAAAGAATGAAAGTTTGGCTTCCTCGTGTTTGTAAGCCACGAGCAGGTGATTGATGGAATGTTTGTAGACATTCTTCGCTGTCTAGTGGCAGGAAAAGAATTCTAAGTATGTGCACTACGCGGGGAAACAGTCCTGCATCCTGGGCAGAAAGCAGCCGCACTGCACCCCTGCCCTGCTCACTGTAGAGCTGCAGTGAGGTCCCTCCCCTGCAGCTCACTGGGGGCTCTGATGGTCTCTCCTCTGCTCCATAGATAACTGTGTCCAGAGGACCCCGAGGCCGTCCGTGGAGAACGTGCACCACAACCCTCCCACCATTGAACTGTTGCACCGCTCTAGGTCACCCATCACCACCAATCACCGGCCGTCTCCTGACCCAGAGCAGCGGCCCCTCCGGTCCCCCCTGGACAACATGATCCGCCGCCTCTCCCCAGCCGAGAGGGCCCAGGGACCAAGGCTCCACCAGGAAAACAACCACCAGGAGTCCTACCCCCTGTCGGTGTCTCCCATAGAGAATAATCACTGCCCACCGTCCTCTGAGTCCCACCAGAAGCCATCTAGCCCCCGGCAGGAGAGCACACGCGTGATCCAGCTGATGCCCAGCCCCATCATGCACCCTCTGATCTTGAACCCCCGGCACTCCGTGGATTTCAAACAGTCCAGGCTTTCCGAGGACGGGCTGCACCGGGAAGGGAAGCCCATCAACCTGTCGCATCGGGAAGACCTGTACATGAACCACATCATGGTCTCCGTCTCCCCGCCCGAGGAGCACGCCATGCCCATTGGGAGGATAGCAGGTAAGTGGGTGCTCCCCTCTGCTGCCACTTCAGCCTCAGGGCAGGCCTAACAAAGCCCTACTCTCTCCTGAGAACTTTGCCACCAGCCTCACACCATCCCCAATTAGGTGCCCTCAGAGGCTCTGAGGGACTACTGTCTGGATGAGGTGAAATCCCTAATGGGCTAGTTAATGAGCTGCTGGGGTGAAGTGGTTAATGAGCCTCAGAAATGTTAAGGAAGGAATGTCCTACATCCCCGCTTATAAGGAGAGTCACATCAGAGTCATGGCTAAGCAAAAACACTTAGAATAAAAGGTTTATGAGCATGTTAATGGCCCTGTCCTGAAGTTTCCAGCCGCTAATTAATAACCAGACACAGCATAAAGAGCCTTTGTCTCGGGCACAGGCCTGTAATTCCACCCTGTGGGCAGTAGCTCAGCACAGCCCTAGCTTGGGAGGGGGCAGGAGAGAAAAACAGGAGGGTGGTGTTGGAGACAGGTGTTGTTGGGTCATTGGGATGGAGGAAACCACTCTTGAATTCTTTTATGATGACAAGCTCAGATTTGTTTCCTGAGGCAAGAAGCCAGTAGACATCTACACATTGCGTTTGTCTTCCCCTAGCTTACATGACGTCAGTCCCCAGAAGCTTAATCCTCCAACCGCTTGGCAGGTTAGCTCTTTGCCTAGAGCGTCACTCTATTCCTGAGACATTTGTTGAGCACTGACTATGCGCAGATAAACACATTAGGAAGCAGGGGACGCAGAGCTGACTTGACACAATTATTTCTTCAAGGAATTTAAAATGCACTAGGAGAGACAGATGGGAAAACCACTAACTAAGATATAAGGCAGAACGAAGTAAGTTCTATGTTCCATTCATTCAGTGCACAAGCATTTATTCACTTATTTATTACTCACTCACTGTGTGCTGGGATAATTAAGTGCTATGGAAGCAAAGCAAAGGGAAGGCACGTTTTGACTGTAGGAATTGCGGAAGGCTTAGCAGGGAGGTAGCTTAATGCTGAAGGTGATTTGTGTTCACTGGTGGGAGGAATGCATGGAAGAAGGAGGGGAGGAGTCCAGCCTGTTCAGGGAAAGGTGAGAAATGCCTCCTCTTCTCCCTCCTCCTCCTCCTCCTCCTCTTCTCCCTCCTCCTCATTCTCCTCCTCTTCTTCCTCCTCCATGAGCTAATGCCCCAGGATAAAGTGCCAGCTGCACTCCAGGGTGGAGCAGTGCTCCTGACACCTCAACAGCCTGGGGTCCAATAGGCTCCTTACTTTAATCACCTCTGCCTCCACTCATTGTCCCGTCTTTAAGTTGTTTCCAAATTTTTCTCCGGCCCCAAATGCACCTCCAATGTTGTCTCAATTTTATTGTTACAAATAATTTACATCAGGAGTGTTGAATCAAGAAAATAAGATGGCATAGAAATGTGTTTTAAAAACTATGAAAAATGAAATGATCTATGTCTGGGATTTGATTCAAACATCCCGCAGAGTCGGGCACAAGGAATGGATGGAGTCTACCTAAAATAAGGCCAGCCCTGAGCCAGTGGCCATGTGGCCAGGTGATGGATGCCAGGGGGTGGGGGGATTACTGTTCTCTCTACCTGTGTGTATATGTAAGTATTATTTTAATAATAAAAAGAAAAAAGAAACTGAAAAGAAGAGCAGGGAAAAAGAAGCAGAGCTTAGACAAAGCCTGAGAACTTCCCAGTTGGAGAAAGGGGATGGGTCAGCACACAACCATGAATGATATACATGACCCGTCTCGTGCTGTCCAGCAAGACCCTCTTGTGTTGTTTCTCGCATGGTCTGCACAGCAGCATTGGCCGTTTTGCAGATACTTCCTACTTGTTTATAATTCTCAGGACAGCTCTTTGAGGTAGCTTAGCACCGCTGTATCTCTTTTATATGGGTCATTTATAGGGGAAACCACAGAGGAAACTGGACCCCAGAGAAGCAGAGGTCAAATAGCGGTTGGGTGGCTGCGGATGCTGTGCGTAGTGCTGCCCGCCGGGGCCTGCCTTCCTCTAAAATCGGTTTTGTCCGCCTCCTCAGTGACACTGTCTTTAAGTCTGTACCTAAAGAAAGTTAAGGTTTTTCGCGTATGGAGTTATATTTCCACTTGTTTAGTAGTTTGTAAATTTTAAAATATTAGTCCCTTAAAAATTATGCTACTTTTTAAATTCTTGTTCCCAAACTTCAGAATTGTTGGCCAAAGGATGTAGTCTCATCAGGATGATGCTCCATGGAATATTGTACCAACCAAGCAATGAACCTGGGTGCCTATGGATGCCCCCTCTCCCTTAAGAACACACAGAAACGGGGAATCTATGCTTTTCTTGGTGACTCTAGGAAATCACAATATTCATGTTAAGTAATCTAGAGCCCAGATCCTTTGGAGGAGTGCAAGAACTCATACAGTATGATAGAATCCCCTAAAATTATTTATTATGAATGCTCTAATGGTATATTCAACAGTTTAAACATCTCCAGATTTGGTGATACAGTATTAACTAATATCACCAAATCCAGGAATAGTTCACTTAACTAAATGGCACTGTTTTTCTCAAGGGTGAATGAGCGGATTGGAAAGTCTTCAGTGTAACTCCAACTCCAGAAGTCTATGATCTCATACTTCGTCTGGATCCTGTAACCCCCAGCACAATTCTAGGCTCCTTTGTGTTGCTCGGGGGATCCCTGCCTCTCCACCCCAGACCTTCTGGTGTCTTTTGGGATTACTCCGATCCTTCTAAAATTGATTCTGTTTATTGAAGGTCAAATTCATTGGGTGATTTCTATGTACAGTGTAAAGTTCTGTCATTACTAAACAGCCATAATAATCTTTCCGGTCCCTATAAAGCAACTGTTAGATGAGAAAACGTAGTTCCTTTAGCTTTTTGAATGAGCACAGAGCAGAAAGAAATGAAGGTGACATGAAGGTGTTGTTGAATATCACTCTGATGAATAACATAGCTGCAGGGAATGGGTAGAAACAACTTAAGAATGTTGATTAAGTAGTAAAGTTGAATTCTTATCCACTCAGATATAATTTTCTCAGGTACTCTAGGATTTATGCATATGGACACCTGCATTTAAGGCACTTTTACTGCACTCATGGGGGTGGGTGTTTAAGGAGGTGTAGACCATTCGCTGTAAGTGCAATACTGTAATTGGTATCGGCAAAGGACTCCTATTAAGTACCACAGGAGGTTGGAGCAGGCATATCACGGAAGGCTTCGTGGAGGGGGTGGCTTTTAGCTGGGCTTAGATGAATACTTCAAATGTGGACAAGTGGAGAGTAGAGAAAAAGTGGTCATTCTAGATGACAAAAATTCTAAACAAGATAAGTCCCCTTATATATATATATATTTTTTACTTCAGGTAAAAATGTAAATCCAAGAATCCAAGTCCATTAAAAATCCATCATACTTCATCAATTCTTTATTTTTTCACTGTTTAATATTGAGATGCACCATACAATTAAGAGATTACATGCAAAATTATGACAGGTTACCTAGGTATTTATCTTGTGGCAAAACTAAAATGATCAATAAAGGAAATAGTTGACAGGAGGTAGTTGACAATTTAAATACAAGCCGCAAATTAGATCTATTTAAATCTCACATTAAGCTGATGTTTAAAGATGTTGTTTATTGTTCAAAGGATAAGATGAACTATTATTGAGTTTAACAAGTTGGAATGGCTGGTGTTTCTGGGAGAGAGTTCACACAGGCCAGAGTGAGACGAGGTCCTTCCTGGGTTCTAGTTTTTATTGACTAGCTAATGGTGTGTAACAACCAGCAAGTTGCTTCTTTTTGTTCTTGTTTTCTATGCATTACCCTTAGGAAGGAATTGCTGGGTGGGGCAGGAGCAGAAGTAAGCATCTGCCAGCCTTCTAACATTTCTCTCAGCCCATAGACGTTTTACTGGTCTGTGTCTCACCAATGTGTTTGTTTGTTTGTTTGTTTGTTTTTTAATATATTTTATTGATTTTTTTACAGAGAGGAAGGGAGAGAGATAGAAAGTCAGAAACATCGATGAGAGAGAAACATCGATCAGCTGCCTCCTGCACATCTCCCACTGGGGATATGCCCGCAACCCAGGCACATGCCCTTGACCGGAATCAAACCTGGGACCTTTCAGTCCGCAGGCCGACGCTCTATCCACTGAGCCAAACCGGTTTCGGCACCAATGTGTTTTGTAAGCAAAGAGTTTGCTGGCAGAGAGCTCCACAGTTGACAGGGTATATAGCTCTGGTGATGCCCTGAGTCATGCTTTCAGTGTATATGGACATTCACTCTTAGAACCCGATGATTTCAAAGCTAGAAGGGTCCTTTACAGATGAAGAAACGGAGATTCCCACACACATCCAGAGTCCAGCCTCGAGCTTCCATCTAGCATCCTTTCCAACACACGAGTCTCCTGGCCTGGGCCTCCAGAGCAGGGGTTGGGAGCTCTGCCCCGAAGGCTTAATCGGCTGCCACCTGTTTCTGTAAATTGAGTTTTATTGGCACACAGCCACTCCCAGTCACTTAGGACTACCTGTGGCAGCGCCGTGCGCTATGCACTGCAAGGCAGAGTTGAGTAGCTGCAGCAGAGATAGTGTGGCCAGCAGAGCCTAAGCTACTTATCATTGGCTTTCACTGCAAGCATTTGCTGTCCCCAGCCTCACTTACTTGTCTGGTCATTGTGCTTGGAATCATGGGCGTAAGGTAGCATGCAGAAGTAGCAAACACGGTCCCTTCTCCAAGGAATTACTTGCACTTCAGAGAATGGGGCGTGCCTAAGACATGTATGAGCAGCAATCACAATGAAGTAAGAAAGGAGACAAGTTCTAGGCTGCAGGCTGTTTGCAGACCAGCCTGGAATGGTTACAGTAACATCCTCAACATAAATACAGCTAAATAAAAGAAATTATTTCATCCTGGCCAGTGTGGATCGATGGTTAGAGTGTTGGCCTGTGCATTGAAGGGTCACAGGTTCGATTCCTGGTCAAAGGCAAGTTACCTGGGTTGC